TAACTACTGTTCCCTGAAGGAAAGGAACGAGGTACAACACATGTTGGCCCCGCTGCACAGCTGAGCGAGGTGAAGAGCAGTAGAACTAAGGAGTGACGGTGATGCGACAATATTTATATGTGCAGGCGGAGCCTGACATCTGTCGTCATCACGTCACCTGCCTAAAGGCGTGATTAGAGGTGGCTTCAGCCAGGACACGCAGGGGCGTGGTTCCCATACATATGTTGTACCGAGTGAATTGACTGAAAGGGAACTTACTTTATTAGGAAAAAAAATTACACAAAAAGCTCTGGTGTCAGCCGAAATCTCACTTATAAACACAGGAAGCTCTGAAGGAGCACGGGGAACACAAGGAAGCTGTAGTGGGCTGTAGAAACCAATAATGCTCTGCTGGGGTGGAGATGGAAAGAGACAGAATTTATGGGCTGAGCATAAAAGGGAGAGTGACTACAGCTGTGACTAACAGAGAAATAACTGAGATGGGCGTGGCAGGAACTGAGGAGCAGAAGCTCAACTGAGGGAGAGGGAGGGTATTATGCAAAATTAACTTTTTTGATTTTTAAATCATGTTATAATGCCCTCATCAACAACATACTCAGAGTGTTGCTTTGACTCATTCATGCATATTTAAGAAAATCCTTGAATCTCCTGTGGTAGCCATGTGGAGCTGCCTAATCTGTTGCTTGAACAAAGCACCGCCTATTTGTGCATAGTTCGTCCCTGGAGCTTAGTCAGCAGCCGAGATCCCGCCCCACGAGCACCCCTCCCCCAATGCATTGTTGTGAGGCCCAATGAGGTATATTTACTAGAGGGGCTATCACGTGACTTTGGGTGTGCTAAACGCGACTCCATCTTGACACAGTCAATCAACCGTTGAACACAGAACCGCAATGCTGTGTCAATGTGCAGCGTACATTTGCAGCAATCGAAGTGGAAAATGTTCGGACCTCATAACATTTCATCGGTAAGTTTGTTTTTTCTTTTAAATAAGAAGGCTATGTTTAGCATTGTGTTTATGTTCAGAATTAGTGCTAACAAGAAATGGATTAAAATCAATTGTGAACTACATAAAATCTCCCATTRATGGAGGGTGAAAAATAAACTTTTTGCTTGTGTTTTTTGTATTTCTGTTGAATCAAGGTGTGCCATTAAAATAAAGACAGAAGTGTTGATTTGCACTCCTGATTGCTTACTAAAGTTTTGTAACAGTAAGTATGTAATATTTACACAACACACACATTGTTATTTATCTAAATTTATTAAGCAAAAGAAAAAAGAAAGAAAAAATACCCTGACATTTGCTTTGTGGATTGCTTGCCAAAGCTCTGTAACAGTAAATATATTTATTTTTGACATGTGGTAATATTTTTATCTATCTAAATTTATTTCAGTGTCATCTTTGTTTTTAAAACTAACTGTGCAATCCTGTCCTTGCACACATCCACTCGTGCTACAGCAGGTGGATACTGTCTTTGACATTTTTAATTCAAGAAATCTACACTGCAGTGGTTACAAACATCCAATATGCCAGAGCAACTGCTTGGAAGTAGGTGAGAAACTACAGTCAATAAAACACTACCTGTATTCATTGAAGGGTTCAGATGGAACACCGATTCACTCAACTCAAAGGTAATGTAATGACAAATAAAATTAATACTTATTTGTAATGCACACTGATCATGTCCACATTCCCACAGAATGTAAATAACAATAAATTGAGGAAAATATTTTACAGACATGCTTTCAGGTCACTGCTATTTTTGTGCACTGTGAATTAAAAAAAAAAACAATCTGAAATGATAAATAATGATTTATGTTTACAGGCACTTGAGTGTGTTTGACTTCAACAGAGAGTTTTTTCAGATTGGTACCARAAGTTCTAGTCAACCAAAGTTTCTCCCTTGGAGCTGTTCTTCAGTGCAGTATGCAAAGCGGGTGAGTTATAATTTGCTTTCACTTTCAAGTGTACTTTTGGGCTATGATTTGTGAAACATAGTTGTTAAAAGACCTAGTGATATTTAGGATGTGTGATTATGCAGGTGGATTTAACAACAACCCAAGCTGTCGTCAGTTCATGGCAATCTTCCGTAAGATGATTGTGCACAGCGGGGTATCACCATCTTCAGCTGGAAATGTTGACTCCATGGACAGCACACAGTGTCTCTGGGTCAATGATGTCATGCCACACGAAGCAGCTGAGTCAACTTTTATGGATAACAACATCGACCACACGTACAGCACATGGATCTCACCAAAACTTGCTCCRTTTGCTGTGAACATCATAACATACATTGCAGGTTTTATGGTGCGCCAGAATGTAACTGAGGTGTGTTGTGATGTGTGTAAATCATCTTTGGTCTCTAATGCTGTCTAACCTCAATATGATGATTTGTATCAGCTGCTTCAAAAGAAAAATAAAGGTGGGCTTGTTACACCCTCACAAGGTGTAGTGCTCCTGTTAACTGCAGCAGAAAAAGGCATCAGGCTTTTCGTGAACATTTCCAATGCAACAAATGTCTGCTCCCAACACAGAGTGTTGGTCTATGTAAAAAATGAATGTGGGGATATCGATCCATTGTGCCTTGGAAAACATAATCAAAAAGTGATCTTAAAAGCCCAGTGTGTAGGATTTGTTGCTTTCAGCGACATCTAGTGGTTGAGTGGTTGAATCATCCTCCCTGGTCCCCCCCCCCMCCCCCCGCTTCCAAACGCAAAGGAGTTGCTACGGTGTCTCTCAGGTGTCAAAAACCTTTGATAATTCCAACCGCGATGTCTACCAGCAGCTTCAGGGCTAGTGATGTTTCAAGTGGTAAGATTATGAGCTTTAATAAGTAAAATTATCCCAGCTACAATGACAGACAAAAAAATACTACATTTATAGTATTACAACTAAAACCGTTTTTGACGCCGCCACCGCAGTTTGTCCTTCATGAGCCTTCGTAGACAAGATGGCGGTGCAAGATGGCGGCTGCCTGTGTGGCAACCCGCGACCATGGAGATATAAACAGCTTTTTATAAGGTAAAAATAATAAAACAAGGTCTTTGTCTGCAATGATTAGACATGTTTTTTTTATTTATTGTCATTAGTGATTATCTCAATTTTGGCTAAAAGACTTGACAAAATCCTACACACTGTGCCTTTAAGACCAGTTTCAAGACCATGACTGGCCTCGAAAACTGCAACACTGGTTCAAGGAAAATGTATCAAATTTAAAAAAATATTAAGTGTAGAAAAAGACTTTGTTTGCTAGGAAACAAAACTCTCTGGGGTCTATTTAAGCGCATCTGCTTTTTATTTTATGTTTTCCTTTAACCAGAACACGTGACTTGAAAAATCTGCTTATCAGTCTGTTTATATTTTCCAGCTTATGTCTAACAAACTACTGAAACGTCAACTTTGACTCAGCTGTGAGGTGCCATCTGGTTATGCAGGAACTTTTCAAATCATATATCTTTGCTGTGCAAACAAGATAGAGAACAGATTGTAATTCATCTTTTTTGTCTTTTACATTTTATCATCTTATCTGCAGTTTATGTCCAGTGAGTTAATGGAAAAGAAACAACAATTCCTTCTAGTTAAATGACAAATGTAGTAAACTGACAAAATAAATAACTTATTGAAGACCGATAAAGATGGGTTGTCCTACTCATTCCTTTAATTGCTCTGTAAAGTGTAGGTTGGGGATTTGAATCAGTTGCAATTCTGGGCATTTGCTTGTAGCAGCCTTCCTCCTCCATCATGGAGCAGTTTGATATATATGGAGGCTCGCTCCAGGACTAAAAATCTCCAGAAGCACCTGGCAAAATTAATTGCCATGTCAGCAGTATTGATCAGCCACCCTTTTAGCCCTCTGCAGATACATTATGGCAGTAAAAACCCTCTTTAATGCATTTTTAATCCACGCCGACAGCCTGGCCTGKCTCTTATTGTCTTGTAAGTGCAGTCATTATCGGTGATGTTCTGTAAAATGCCCAACAGAGATTACTGCTAAGGGTGAACTGCCTTTACTCGGATGCTAAATGAAGTGAGGGATTTGTATGACTAAATAGGCTGGCAACTACTCTTTCTTAGTTGTCGTTTTGTTCTCTTCAGCCCCTTCTTGCAGCGGAGGGTGGACTTCTCTTTCTGTGTTTATGACCACCGCTGTGCATTCATTAACAGAAAAGCTCAGCAGAAATTACAGGCATACGCTGCAGCAAAAAGAGAGAAGGCGTTTTCTGTCCTCTGAGATTGGGGGGTTGGAGAAGAGATAGTGCTGAAGCTCCTGAGCAGCTACACTTTTTYTTCTTTCAGAACTAATGGTTGGTGTTTACAGGAGGAACGGATGATGCATTTTATTGTGACTCATTCGTCCCCAGCATCTGTTGGAAGATATGCGTAGCGAATCAAAAGCTGACTTGTGGCTACGATTTAAAAGACAAAAGTAAAGTATATTATAATTTTTGTTTTCCTTTTACTTGTAGATGCATCGATGCCTCTTAAAATTGTATAAAACATGTTTTATAGTTATTTTTTTCTCTTCAAGTCTTTTATTTCCATGTGTTTTTCCATTGTTCTGTTTCCTGTTTTAACATCACCTTGTACATTTTTGCCTCATTATGCAAATAAGGGGTGGCTGCCCTTTTTGGGTCAGCTCTTGTACTATTTGTCAATAGACAGGAAGGAGAAGAATCCAAATGCAGATCGACTGTGCATGCAGAACGCAAAAATGTAAAAACAAGACATGGGAATAAAAAAGACACAAAACATTTTAATGTACTGATTCTAATGACTCGGTATGCTAAAATGAACTGGTGTTCCCATCAACTGAGGCAGGCATGCACAACTGATCTGCACAAAAATTCTGGTCTGTTTTAAAGACATTCTGCTAAAATGTACTCTAGTAGTAGCACAGATTCATCCAAAGTGCATACTTCAAACACTCGTCATTGCAAGATATTTGCCTGAGACATTAACATTAACTGCTGGAAACAATGTTTGCCTATGACCAAAATATGGTCAGATTATAATGAATATTAATACAGTCATTGGACGTACATCTACACCAGATTCATTTTTGGAGACAACTCTTTTTAAGATTACCACAGCTTAGCATATTCTACAAATACTGACAAGGAATACCCTACTTTTCAAAAATATTCTTTAAATATACTTCAACAATTTCTTTCTTTGTGTTATTTTCTCAACCACTGTGAATCTTACTGTACTGAGCTATATAGTAGTGGCTAAGACTTGATTACAACACATACTCCAAACCGCTAACAGTGTGAGATCTCACAAGATAGCACAATATTATACATAATGGCATTTTCAAAGTTTGACAAAAACAGCTACAACGCTTTCCTATCTCAATATAAGATGATCTTAGTTTAAAATCACCGGTGATAAGCAATCCTTTTGTTAAGTCTGTGCACAAAGAACCAAGGTAGCAAACACAAAAACATTAGAAACTCAGAGGAAAAAGCAAAACTGATTAAAAAATGCTGAAATGGCGGGAGAAAACTAAATTACAAGAAAAACTGGAAGAGAGCATGAGGAGAACTAAACACATAGGCTGTGCAAGGCACAATGAACTGACAACAAACCAACAGAAAGACACAAAATAAAGGGACCTTAACGAGCGTAAAAGACCAACACCTGTGAGGGAGACAAATGGGAAGAGGTAAAAGTGGGAGGGACCAGAGCAGAAACAAGAGGCAAGCAAACTACACTGCCTGGCCAAAAAACATCACCACCTGGATGTAACTAAGGTCTATGATGTGGGGTTGCTGCAGTTGGTCAGGTCTAGGTTCAGCAACAGTAGCTATGTGCTCAAAGAATGAGGTCAGCAGACTACCTGAATATACTGAATGTCCAGGTTATTCCATCTGTGGATTTTTTCCTTTCCTGATGCACATTCCAAGTTGACAATGCCAGGATTCATGGGACTGGAATTGCGAAAGAGTCGTTCAGGGAGCATGAGACATCATTTACACACATGGCTCCACAGAGACCATTGAGAATCTTTTGGATGTGCTGGAGAAGACTTTGTGAAGCGGTCAGCTGATTAACTACAATCATCAATGCAAGATCTTGGTGAAAAATTAAAGCAAGCTTATCGAAACAATGCCACAGCGAATGCGTGCCACAATCAGCTAAAGGTGGTCCAACAAAATATTAGTGTGTGACCTCCTTTTTTATAATTTTTTTATTTTTTTATTTTTTATTTTTGGGTAACCTTTTTTTGGCCAGGCAGTGTAATAAAAATGTGAGAAACAAAGCACAAAATGGAGAAAAATAGCTTTAAGAAATGTTGAGTGCTTAATTGTTGGGGACTGCAGCCAGTTTTGCATGTGTTCATATGGCTGCACACACTGCATTTTCATTTGAGTTAAAGTTATGAAGAAATTTATAGTTATTAGAGGTTAGTACTGATGTTAGAAGCACAATCAACACTGTATTCTTAGGTTTTCCTTTTTATAATGTTGACAATGTTTAATCTATTATGTTTTGATTGATATAGATTAGTTACATGTCCGAATTAAATGACAACACATAATCAACCGTTATGAGAACAGTAGGAGAGAATTTTGTCTGAATGCCTGTGATTCAGCTGTAGGTCAGTAGGGGGCAAATCCAGGCATTGAAGAACCATGTATAAATTGATGAACTTCCAGGTTTTTCGCCAGTGTGGTTTCCTGTCAGCTCCGGTGGCAATAAACCTCACTCAGATCCAGAATTCTGGTGTTGTATGGTTTGATTC